AACAGAGAGCTGAAGAGTTAAACCATAAAAAGAGTAGTAATTTAAAAAACTGACTAAGAGCAGTAAAATTAATACAGGAAGGGAAACATTTAAAGGTTAAAACATTTAAAGAAGAGGGAGATAAAAAGGTTAGAAGCGATAAAATTAATAAAATGAAGGGATAGATCTTTAAAAGGAGAAATCACATGAAAGCAAGTCTATAAAAGTGAGTTTAAGGAAGTGATTTAAAAAGAACATTTTGGAGAAAATGATCAAATAAACATTTCAGATTTAAAAAAGTAAGAACGCAAAAGAGGTCAGGAGTTAAAACGAGAGAAAATTGGTTTGCTTTGTTTGAGATTTTACTTTTGTTGTCCTTCTGCAGCTTTTTTAATACCAGCATGCTAACACGCTAACACGCTAACACTGACCCGGGGGACAAACAAAACGTTGCTTTGAGGTCTCTTTGTTGTTCACTCGGTGCTGTTTGATAAAATGATTGAAAATATGATTAGCAGTGACTCCTCGTAGCCTATGAGAGACGTCTGACCCAAATTCTACAACAGTTAATCCATGACTTCTTTTATAAAGAGATGAAGTACTCTGGATCCTACACTTCCCATAATGCACTTCTTAGTTACAAACTTTTTCTCGACTTCTTCTCCAAAGAAAATTTCTGTTTCAAACTTCTCATCTCCTGTTCTACTCTTCCCTGCGGAAAACTTTCAAATGCTAAGTGGAGATATATTTATTCAACATCGTCGTCTCCACCCGTGATGTCTGCTGGTTTTACCTTTATGAGTTTTTAACCCTCGTGCATCACTATGGACATTTTTGTCCATTTGGTCAAATGTTTCCTCTTCATCTGGTCATCATTTTGTCTGTGTTAGTGCATATGGCACACATTTTTGTAAGAAAGTTTCTCTCTTGACATATTTTGGAATGCAAATTAAAAAAATTTAATAGATCAATAGAACACTGTGAAACATGTTTACTACCCTCTGAAGTCACTAAGGACAAAAAATGTCCACTTACAAAAAACTGCTATAAAGATAGAACAGATTAACATTTTTTTCTACTTTTTTTTGCATAAATCTCTTAAACAACTCCAGCCCTGCTCAAAACTACCAAATATTGAATAATTATCAGGAATTTAACCCTTTAAATGCTAGAATCATGTAATCAAATTGGCATTTAAAGGGTTAATTTCCTGCTAATTATTCTAATTATTAAAAATATCAATCTGTTCTATCTTTATAGCAGTATATTATATTTAGTATATAATAGTATATAATTAGTATATATTTTCGTCCTTAAGAGTCCACTTAAGAGGGTCGTAAATTAAACTGATGCCTGAGGGTTAAAATAAGGTTTTTATTTCATTTCAGAAATGAGTTCAAGTCGTGTGGGAGCTGCTAGACTTCACTCTCTGATATCTCTGCTCAGTAGAAACATTTCTTCCATCGTGCCTCATTCTCACCACTTAAACAAGATAAGGGGCTTCGTACTTCTGCTGCTGTCTTGGTTTTTTTTTTTCATCATTCACTCTGGAAGCTTCCATGATGTCAGAGAGGAGGAATCTCTCTGTTCTCCGTCACTCTGGACATTTTGGGTTTGTTTTATGGTTTCATTGGTTACTGTAAACCACAAAGGTCGAGAGGTCACAGAAGACACAAGATTAACTCAACGGCTCTCTTATAATCACATGTCCCTTTTTGGCTCCTTCTTCTTCTTCTTTCTGGACGTCCAATCAGGCTTTGTTATGTTTCCAGAAATGGCTGATTCCCCCTTTTTTGTGCACAGATCGGGCTCGCTTAGTTCGGTTTCGGTTCGTCTTTTTAAATATAAGTTATGTCATCGTCGTTAAAAGTGATTCAATAAAGTTAAAAAACAAAATGCAGATATCTGCAGGACGAGAAGCCAGCAGCGTTTGTGTTTCAGCATAGCAACAGCACATCCCATAAACCTCAAAACACAGTTTCTGGACTCTGAGGCTGCACACACATGAACCCACTCACCTCTAACACACACACACACACACACACACACACACACACACACACACACACAGTACAGATCTTATGATCACAGCAGATCATTCTGTTCTATCAAATAAATCATCAGCCGTTAACTCATCTTTATCTCTTTGAACTCTTAAGTCGGAAAAAACACGTTAAAGATAAATCAATTTGGAAGTGTGTACTAACAGAACAAACACTTAGCTGTGGGAGTGTCACCCACCTGAGGGAGGGGCTACTGCCCTTTGTGATGTCATGAAGGGAGAATCTCCAAACGGCCTGTTTGATCACACATTTTCTGTAAAGTGGAGCAGCACCTTTAAACTTTCCAAACATTTCCTGTCATTCTTTTTTGCTCCTTTCCAATAAAGGGAGAAAAAAAGAGCGTTTTTATATGTACAGCTTGCTATCCAGGCTAGCGCTACTGTTAGCTGATAGGTTAACACTTGCTAGCCTCCCGTTTTCCCTCTCGTGCAATTCTTTTAATTCTCGCTCCAAAAAGAAAAATAGTGACAGCCAAAATGCAAAACTGGAGGTTTCAAAACTTTAGACCCAAACACATGGTTGAAGTCATGGTGGCTGCTGTGCATCCACTTGTTTTTTAAAATTCAGATAAATCAGCTAGTCGAGTGTGTTTTCAAAACCTACCTATGGTTCCCTCGTAGTCCTCCGACTCTGTGCCAAGGAAGCTGTCGACCTTCTTCACAGCCGCCATCTGGACCTCCAGGTCGGCCAGGTTCCTCACCACCCAGTTCAGGTAGTTAGTGACCTAAAGAGGAACACAGAGAGAGAGAGGGGGTCGGTTATAAATAATAATGTTTATGTTGAGTGTAAACCAGGGTGGAAATAACCCACTGAGGGGGTACCGATGAAGTAAAATATAAAAATACACAAAGAAGTCGACTCACAGTGAGGGCGTAGGTGAGCCCGAGGCCCACCAGGCCGTTGACGGCTCCTTTCTCTACGTTCCAGATGGACAAGACGGCTGCAGTGAGCACGATCACCGCCCCGAGGTAGTCCTGCACAAAAAGAGGGGAACCGTTTCATTCTTCCTGTTTTTTAAATCTTCAACTGATTATACAGTTTGAGTGCATTTCACATTCCTGCTCAGTGAATGTTTCACTTTGATATGATAAGTGATTTAATAAAAATGGCTCCTCACCGTTCGGACCTCCAGCCAGCGGTTGGCGGCGGACAGAAACAGGTAGGCCGTGTTGTTGGTGTCAGTCAGCTCCAGCATGCGCTGTTTGAAACGAGCTTCATGTCTGAAAGAAAACATTTTCTTTTTTCAAATCATCCCCTCCAGTCTTTATAAAAACACACTGCTGCATCTTTATGTCCTCCAGCATCCTGTTTCCATGGCAACAGGGAGTCATAATGATGATAGTGGAGAGATGTCCAAACAGAAGGTATGACAGAGGGGGGGCTGATCGGAGGCTGTAGTCCTCGATGCAGTGTCAGTGGGTTTGAATCTGACCTTTACTGCATGTCGCCCCCCCCCTCCACCCACCCGACTCTCTCCTCCCAACACTTCCTGTCTCTCTCTCTTCAGCTCAGAGAACAAAAAACAGCTCAGCTGATATTCCAGCGTTTGACTCCGGCTTTAGAGGGTGAATAATGAAAACGGGAACTAGACCATGACTGCCAAGAATCTGTCCCAACGGCACACTCACTGTTTCTGTGTGTGAGTGTGTGTGTGTGTGTGTGTGTGTGTGTGTGTGTGTGTGTGTGAGTGTGTATATGTGTGTGTGAGAGGAAGAGGAAGTCCTGAGGGAAAAAAAATGTTTAATGTTGGATTATGGGGACGATGGGGGAGAGAGGGTGACGACAGAAGTCCAAGAAGATTCTATTACTGTATATTGTATGTAACGCTTAAAATGTGTAATTGTTTGAAAGCGCTTGAAGTTACGTATTTGAGGTGGAAGAGATTAGACCCAAAGCATAACAAATGTGTTTTTCTCACAGTTACAAACAAAAAAACATAAGATAAAAACTTCCCTTTCTCATACGGTGTCCCCCAGAGTAAATAATAAGATGGTTTTGTACCTGAAGGCTCTTATTGTGGTGAGACCCTCCGCCGTCTCAGAGAAGTGGCAGAGCAGAGGCAGCTGAGTGGAGTCATCGAGGTCCTGCAGGTCTCTGAACCACAGAGACACAGAAAGTGTCAGAGTACTGCACCTTAAATTCCAGATTTACTTAAATACTAAACAAAGACATTTTTTCTATGTGGACTCACTTTGAGGCCACCCTGAAGTACTTCTGGATGAAGTAGAAGGCCACCGCGATGGGTACCAGGGCGATGAGGAAGGTCTGAGTGATGCAGGAGATTACCCCGATGGCCGACAAACACAGCAGCGTGGATCTCGTTAAAGACTCGAGCGTCGGAGGAATGTGCTGAAAGAGAAAGAGAGACGCAGACGTGGGAGTGAAGTCAAAGTCCTCGTCGATTCAAAAATACTGAACAGTTCAAAAGAATTGAACATTTGGACGTCTGCACACCTGGTCTATGATGTTGGTATCAGCTGAGAATCTGTTGAGGATCTGACCCAGAGGAGTGATGTCAAAGAACCTGAGGAGAGACAGAGAATATATAACTGAGCGAATAGAAACGCTTGAAAGCTACTTTTGCATTTACGGTCGGAGCAGTGTGTGCTAACCAAGATGGACTCCTCCATGATGGCGGCTACAGGAGAACTACACCAAAAAAAAATAGACAATCTGACGGCTTGACTTGAGGTCTGAAATCTCAAACGTGCGCACAAACTTTAGGAAAGTAATTGAAGATGTGCGGAAGGAAAAACGCATCTTGAGGATCTTTAGGAGGGAGCTAACCGCTATGCTAACCGGGTCGTGGAGCTCGAGGGCTAAAGCTACCACCATGTGGGTATAGTCGGAGCTTTTAAAAAAGTGTGTTGTATGATCTCAAACATCCTTCAATAAGACTTGGGGCCTTCCTAATAGACCTTATTAGAGACAAGCTTTCTAGCACTCCTGATGATGCTAGGGACACAGCTTGAGCAGAGTTAATTGATGGAGAGAGACCCCCCCCCCCCCTCCTTTTTATTTACTTTTTTAATTTTATTTATTTACTTTTTAAATTGTATTTATTTACTTTTTTAAATTGTATTTATTTACTTTTTTAAATTTAATTTATTTACTTTTTTTATTTTATTTAATTCCTTTTTTAATTTAATTTATTTACTTTTTTAAATTGTATTTATTTACTTTTTTAAATTTAATTTATTTACTTTTTTTATTTTATTTAATTCCTTTTTTATATTTTATTTATTTACTTTTTGTCGAACTGAATGTATTTGTGTATATGTATGTATTTAAATATATATATATTTGTATTATTATTATTATAATTTTATTCTTTTTTTACGTATGTGTCTGTGTCTACTTGTATTGTCCTATTAGTATCTATGTTACGACAGTCGCTAATGGACGACTACTTTAGGAAGCTGGGAGGGTAAAATGGGTGTTTACTATTTTATTGTCTTGTTTTTCTGTTTAATTGGGGCTTTTTGTTTTACTATATGCAGATGATCTGATTTACTCCTATGTGACATCATGTTGTACATCTGTCTGCAAAAATGTAATAAAAAGATTTTGAAAAGAAAAAAAAGTGTGTCTTGTGTGTGTGTGTGTGTGTGTGTGTGTGTGTGTGTGTGTGTGTGTGTGTTATGTGTACCTGATGGGAGCGTGGATGATCTTGTTGAGCAGGTTGTGGTGCAGGTTGGTCGCCGCAGAGAGACCCAGAAACTCCACGGTGAGGGAGGTGATGAGACACAGCGTGATTCCAGCCGCACACAGGATGATAAACACTTGCAGGTGGTAGGAGTCGTTCTGCAGGGTCACACACACACACACACACACACACACACACACACACACACACACACACGTTTTGTCAGTAGATGACATAATAAGGTGATAAGGTGAAAGTTTCACAGTATCGTCTCCACCTCTGTTTGAGCGCTCGACGTGCTGTTGCCGTTCATCGTAATGTTGTGGTTGGTTTTGGCCGAAGTCCATTTCGCTATCCAGTAGTCGATGGCGACGATGACGGAGTGTTTGAGGAGTTTGGAGAAGATCATCAGGAACACCATGAAGAAGCCTCCGGAGGACAGGTAACGCCAGCACACCTGAGGAGAGAACGCAGCGTTTAAGAGTTCAACAATCTGATACAGATGTGTGCAGCTGTGTGGACTTTATGGATTTACCCTCCATGGGATTTTGGATCTTCTGTTAGTGGTTGTTGACATGTTGTCGTCCTCTTCCTCCTCCTCTTCTTCCTCTGACAGGATGAAAAAAATCAGCTGTTAGATCAAACCAACGTTGAATTCTTTCAGCGAAACATTTTCATGAAGAATTTACCAAAAATATCCCGTTAGCCACATTTCATGAAAATGATCAAAAAGTGCTAAATGTGTTACCTTCATCTTCGTCGTCCGTTTGGTTCTTGGCCTCTCTGGAGTAAAAAGCTCTTCTTAGTGTTTTCCTCTCCAGAGTTGTTTGACTGTCCTGCTGGATGTCCTACAGCAGAGCAGAACAAAATAAAAAGGAGCACTATTTCATTTTTTGAACCAGGCTGTAAACATTTTAATTTCTGCTTTTTTGAATGGGTGTGTATGTGACTTCCTGTGCTTCTGCAGCCAGCCTCTAGTGGACACTCGAGGAACTGCAGGATTTTGCAACTTCAGCATCGGCTTCATTTTTTTCAACACTAGAGGTTTCCGCTTACTTTTGACATTTTTTGAGTCAATCTCTTGACTTTAGACTCATCTGAATTTAAATTAGTGTTTAACTGATTTTAGAATTAGTTGCCTGGAAAACCTCCTTCACAGTGATCAGTAACCAGAGTTGAAAACAGGTAGCATTACCTTCTCTAGCTCCTGATCTTGTCTGTTCATCAGAGTCTTCCAGTGATCGTAAAGCTCCACGTCATGAGTCTGGATGTCCTTCAGAGTCCCCTCTCTCAGAACTGAGCCGTCCTTCATCGCTATGATCTGAACAAAGAAACAGAAAACCAAACATCCAAAATGTAAAATAAAACATGTTGAAGTCGTGTTTGTGTTTAAGTCTCGGGGGATTTGGATTCTCACCCAGTCTGCGTGTATGAGGTACTGCAGTTTGTGGGTGACCAGGACTACAGTCCGTTTATCATCCTGCAGGAACTTGAGGATTCCCTCCTGCATCAGGTGATCGCTGAGGTGGATGTCCAGAGCGGAGAACGGATCGTCCTGTGAGACAACGAGCAGAGAAGTTAATTCATTTAGAAGCTTCTATCGTCCATGTTTTTAAAGGTCACATATTATGTAAAACACACTTCACCATGTGTCTCGAGTCCGTCTACAAACCCCCCAATGATGAGAAAAGTCCATCCTCTCCGTCTTTTACCTGCTCCACGTTTCAGAAAATGTGTGATCAAACAGGCCGTTTGAAAATTTTCCCTTCGTGACATCACAAAGGGCAGTAGCCCCTCCCCCAGGTGGGTGACACTCCCACAGCTACGTGTTTGTTCTGTCCTCTGAGTCTACCTTCTCACCGTAAACAATAGGACATGGAGCGGAAAGACAGAGTACACCCAAGCTTTTCCAGAGAGGGGGCGTGGTCAGACAAAGCTAATTTACATATTTAAAGGTACAGACACAGAAACAGCCTGTTCTGAGCAGGGCTGAAATGGAGGGGTTTATAGACATGATCAAATACCCCCCAAAGACGATTATGTCATCAGAATTGATACACCATTGGCCATCTAAATAAACCATGATTGTTTTGAATTGCATCTCTTTGATTTGTTTTTGTTGGTGTGTTGGTTTGAAGGTCTTTCCTTTCTGTACAGTGTGTAGGGGGATGAGATCGGATGGACCATGTGTCTGCGAGGTTTTGTATGTTGCTTTTGTGTTTTGGATGATTTAAAATGTATCACCTCTTACGCCTCTCCTTTTTTCATCACATTTTGTTTTCTTCAACATCTGGATATGAAATGGATCCTCTGATAACGACTTTAAACACTTAAACCTCTGCGCGTCTCTCCGGCTGGGTGTGCCACTGCTTCAGAGTGCGTGCTAAAGTTCTGCTAATGGAGCTCTGCTTATGATTAATTGATGTCTTTAAAGATTATGCATAATTCAATCTTTGAGATCAGATCACGTTAATGAAAGGAAAACATCCCCTCCTCATTAAACACTACACTCTCAAACATTACACATTCCTGTTTCCACCGCTCCAGACATTACAAGGAGTGATGAGCGAGTTAAAGAATGCCACTGATAGCTTTTTAAAGTGGATAAATTCTAAATAATCAATTAAAGATCGCAGTGGCAACAGGAAATGAGGCGTCTACTGAGAAACTCATGACGGCAGGGCGGCGAGAGAAGCGGACACCTCCTCATCCCAGAGGTCAACATGCATTATCTGTTGTATCATACAGAAATACGGAGGATTTGACAAAATCCAGTGAACAGAGGGCGTTCCTTAATCTAATTCAGCTTTACATGACAAACTATATTGTATATACACTCCTATTATCAGTGAAGACATCTCAAAACAAGCCAGCAGCTATTACAAATCTTTAAAGGTCACATATCCTCCTCCTCTTCTTCAGTGTAAATAAGTCTCAGAGCTCCTCTTCAACATGTCTGTGAAGTTTCTTGTTCTAAATCCACTCTGATCCTGTATTTGATCATGTCTATAAACCCCTCTATTTCAGCCCTGCTCAGAACAGGCTGTTTCTGTGTCTGTACCTTTAAATATGTAAATGAATGTGCGTTCTCGCTCCATGTCCTATTGTTTACGGTGAGAAGGCAGACTCAGAGGGCAGAACAAACACCTAGCTGTGGGAGTGTCACCCACCTGGGGGCCCTTTGTGATGTCATGAAGGGAAAATCGGCAAACGGCCTGTTTGAGCACACATTATCTGAAAAGTGGAGCAGGCAGAAGACGGAGAGGATGGACTTTTCTCATCATTGGGGGGTTTGTAGACGGACTAGGGACACAAAACACGGTGAAGTGCCTATCACATATGTGAACTTTGATTCGGGTTTTGGAGCTCACCAGGAAGACGATGTTGGTGTTTTGGTAGAGAGCTCTGGCCACACAGATTCTCTGTCTCTGACCTCCGCTCAGGTTGATACCCTGAATCATAAAAACACAAGAAGAAACACAGAAAAATATCAGTAGGACCACCCTGGTTAAATAAAGGTTAAAATAATCAAGAACTCACCGACATGTCTCTTTAGAAGTATTTAAAGTGTGTCTATACTTACCCTCTCTCCAATCTCTGTCTGGTCTCCAAAAGGCAGCAGGTCATGTCTGGCTGCAGAGAGCAGGCATCGATCACAGCCTTGTACCTGAAATACACATCGCAATCACCATGGTAACAGGTAAAGTTCTCATTAGAATAAAATCCAAGTCCTACCAAATCTAGAGCATCCGAGAGTGACTGATGTTTAGGGCGTTAACATGTACAAAATAAACCCAATATTCCTAGAAAGATGTTAAAATCAGAAATGAAAATACAAATATTTCATAATGACGTTTGTCCATGAGTTAACAGCAGATACATTTGACTTTGTACCTCTGTTTGTTAAAGGGGCTGCCGAAGGTGATGTTTTCCTCCACTGTGGCGTTGAGCAGCCAGGACTTCTGGGTAGCGTAGGCCACAGAGTTTCTGTTCTTGCTGGGTGCATCATGGGAAACGGAGGCAAACAGAGAGAGAGGTAGAGTAAGAACTACGAGTTCTGTCTTAATAAAGCTTCAAAGAGCAGGAATACTGATCTGTGATCTGTGACCGATGCAGTGATGCAGATCGATTCAGAAATGAGCTTTTTCATGGTCTTTGAAAATTCAAATAAACACTCTCAAGAAATTTGAGCATTAAAAGCCCAGTTTCCACCAAGGTTCAGTCCGGTTCAGTCCGGTTCAGTCCAGTTCAGTCCCGTTCGGTCCAGTTCGGTCTGGTTCGCTACCGCAAAAATGTATTGGTGTTTCCACTTTCAACTTTGGGAATGGCACCAGCAAAAACTATCCATACTGTTCTAATCTTTTGCTTCTTTTCTTTGGGGGGGTTGCCAAGCGTACCGATCCGACCTTAAAGGGTGGAGCTAGAAACCCTGCAGTCCATTGATTGGTCAAAAGTATCGTCACTTCCTGTGCAACAGCGGTAATAAAGGAACAACGCTAAAAGGCGCCATGTTTAAAGATCCCATTGAGTAATTTCAAGGATTCTCTCAAACAAAGCTTGTCGTCTTCTTGTTGTGGTAAATAGAAGAAGAACATGCCAAGAAGAAAGAAGACAAAACGTTGGACATCTTCGGCTCACGTTCTTCTTCTTTGTTTAATTTTTTGGCGGGCTACACTTTGTCACGCTGCTATGATTTCATGCCATTACGTAGCTGATGTCGCTATCTCCATCCAGTTTACACCTAGCTTATCAAGTAAGGGTACGGTCGGCATAAAGATCAGGGTGAACCAAACCGGACCGCTTGGTGGAAACGCAGCGTTTTAATCTAATGTCAGATCAGTTCTCCTGTCCCTAACCAGCTTTATAAATGGGACACCCAATCCTAAGAGAGAAAAGAAAATAATGAGGAGGGGGATTATGTTTCACCGCAACATGAACGTATAGTTTGTCAGGCATGAGAGAGAAACATGGAGAATGAATTGGGGTTAATTGTAAGCTGCAAAACATCAACATGAGCAACAACAACAACAACGACAACAACAGCCACGATTGCGCCGGCTACAGCAACACAAATAAAAACAGGAACAAGGGCACCAACCACAGCAGGAGCACTTTGCTGGGAGTCTTTGAGAACAACTACATCGACCCAAAGCTTAAAGAGACATGTAGGTACCTATTTGGCCCTCCAGACCGTTTCATTTAAAGTGTACATATCATCCCCCTCCTCCTCCTTTTCAAACAGTCCCCTGTGGTCTAAATGAAACATCTGTGCTGTGCTTTGGTCCAAATATAACATGAATCAAGCACCAGAGGAGGTTTGTGACCCTGTATAAACCAGCTCTCTCAGAACGCTCCGTTTTGGTGTGTGTGTCTCTTTAAATGCAATGAGCCCCCCCTAAGTTTTCCCGATAGACATCACTCCTCTGTAGCGAGAATAAAAATGGCAGACCTGAGTAAAAGTTTGTTCTCAGCTGGGGGTGAAGTCCATGGGTGGCGATATCAGGGGAGGGAAGGGGATTTTTTTATTTACCAGAATCCCACTGTGACATCACAAGGAGAGCACATTTGAAACAGATCATTTTTCTCTGTGTTGTAAGACTTATGCAGACCACAAACAAAGGACTGGATGGATTTATTTCACATTTTGTGGGTCAGTAGACACTCAGGTTACCCAAATATATGTTCAGAAACACTTTAGAAGAGGATTTTTCAGAATACGTTCCCTTTAATAACTCAAGAAAACAATAATGTTTTCAATAATCTGAACATCTGCGCTACCAGGAAGTATCTAAATGTCTTAGCTAAAGTCGGGCAATGACTCCCAGCATTTAAACACAAACCACTCAGGGGTCAGAACGCACCAAAACCAACAATGAACTCAATGACGGAAAAAAGAGGCGGAAGAACACAATGAGGAGGAGGCAGCACACGGTAAAGGCTGATGAAGTTCCTGAACACACACACACACACACACACACACAATGACAAAACGCCGCTGTAGCAGGAAGATTACAGAAGCAGGACTTTGAATGAGGGGTGGAATTAAATATTGAAGTGGCGATTAATCGTAGAGGCGTCCTATATTGATATGGCACTCTAAAATGATTTTCCTGATCATTTGACTCACTGTGTCACAGCTTCCTGACTCCTCACAGTGGCGTTTATTAAATTACAAACTGCTGCCATATTTTGTCTCTAAAAACACTGATTATCAAAGAATCCCTTGAAAGTGATTTAATCAGTAAAATGGGCCACACATGGGCCACAAAGATGGTATAGTACCGTACCTTACCAAACTGTACCATGCCTTATCATATATTATTGTACAGTGTCTCCTCATATCAGACCATACTGAACCTACCCTTCCTTTAACTAGCGGAGTTTGACCCAAGTGATTTGACAACTGTCCTGTTTACATCACTATTCTCTACTAAACTCTATAATATAGAGAGGATATAGAATCTATATCCTACGTTTCTATTTCTAGGAACTATTCTTCTTCTTTTTTTAAACTTTAGTTTCCTCTTCTTGTTAGAGCATTCAGAGCATGACCGATTCTGCATCAATCAATTATGTATAGTCCAAAAATACTTTATAGCCTATTCTGTATGTAAAATAACTACTATGTGCATAAAAAAAACACCTTAACCCCTGCATTAAAAACTTTGAGTCCGTATTTTGTATGTGTCCATGAACAACACAGCCTGAAATACTCTGGGAAATAATTTCGATGCAGTAAAACAAAACTTTTGTCCTGAGAAGAGGTAAAAAAAAAAAAAAAGGGCATTAAAGTTAGTTTAAATGAGTAAAAAAGGAGGAGAAATGAATGAGGGGTCATTTGGGATCACTTCACATCAGTACGGTAGACAGGAAACAGGAAGGAGAAACGTATACCTCCGGAAGTCTTCCTCGGTCGTCTCCGACTCTGACCAACTGTCAAAGTCACGTCAGCGTGTTAGAATAACCCCGACAATCAACTGTGTGTATATTTGTGAGTGAGCGAGTGGGAAGACAAATCACAGATAGAAGAGAGAAAGCTGCTTGCTATAAGCTCGTTTCTGCCGACAGAGAAGAAGAAGAAGACAAGACAGAAAACATGGAGGAGACGGACAGGAGAGGATTTTCATGCCCTGGTAATGAAGACGTGATGCTAGCCTGCTAACCGCTAATCGAATTAGCCTTTCCCACCCAGAGAATAAGAGCTGTGTTAGCGATGCAGTCACCGTCTCTCTGTTATAATTAAGTTTCTCGAGCTGTGGGGCGTACGTGTAATAATAGGTTCAAAGATTAAGCACATCCACGAGGCCTTCAGAGAGTAAGAATATGTGGAAATTAGCGCTGTCTGTATTTTGTCCCTTCAGGCTCTCCGTAGATACTCGTCCTCAGTGTCTCCCTGTAGTCTCAGTGATGTTAAAGAAGAACCCTGCTGCATCTTTGAATGTCTCATTTCACTTTAACAAACTCTCAGACAGCTCAGCTGACGAGTCCAAAGTCATATCCACCTTAAGACATCACACATTGACCTTATGACATCACACATTGACCTCATGACATCACACATTGACCTTTGTTACCGTTCCTTTGAGCTGTTTGACCTCAGTTTGGGATCCCTAACCACTTCCTGTTTCTGTATTTAAGTTAACTTTGTAACCTTCCATGTAACAGAAGGGCTTTACTTCATTTCAAAATAAAAGCACGGTTGAATTCAAACAGCAAGTAAAGTACTCTCAAGTTAAGACAGTACAACATTTCAAAATAAAAGCCTACATTTTTTTAATTTTTAATGCAAAATTAATGGAATTTTAAACATGCCATTAACAGCGATTTAAGTTCATGTTGTAACCTTTGTTCTACTGGAAGGTCCTTACTTTATTTCAAAATAAAAGCACGGCTGACTCCAGCTCCTTTTTTTTCCTCCTGTATATAATATAATTCATTGCTATAATTATATATATAAAATGTTGTAACCTTTACTTTTTTTTCAGAATGAAAAACACATTTCTATCCAAACAGGAAGTAAAGAACCCTTAGGTTAAATTTTTATTACTCATGGATGACATTTTTTATTGTTTGACATTTATTGAAATATTGAAGGTTTCTGTAATTATTCATTAAAAAATCTAAAATAAATGTTGTCACTACTCTTGACTTATAGAATATTAACTTCCTTCTGGTGTGTTAGAAGAATACATCTTTTTAAAAATGAAGAGAAAGAGAAGACAGATGGATCAAATGTGAATGTAATGGTTTGTAGTCCATGAAAATAAAAGATGTTTAAGGAAGACGAGACCAGAGAGAGAAAGTACCTGAAGTTCCACTCGTGGACCATCTCACAATCAGGCAGCCTGATGTGGCGAGAAGGCAGGAAATGAAGAGATAGAAACCAAACATACCATCACCATCACACACACACACTGAGCTAAAGTCACACAGAGAGGGACACAGATGTGTAAACACACACACTCACTGCAGAGGTTAGGGTGCAGCGCTGCAGGTTACACATGTGCAGCTATAATCGACAGGTTTCAGACTCTTTTTTCTTTTTTAAGCACGGAAAAGAAAGCTGCAAATAAAGTCACAGACATGATGACAGGAAATTAAAACGTGGAAAAAAGTGGGACTCCAGGGAGAAATCTTTCAGGAAGTTAAAAGCAGAGTTTGACGATCCTAAGAAAACTTGAGATCTTTCAGCTACTCACAAAAACCAAAGCTGACATTAACCTATGAACCTGAAATTTAAAAAAAAGTTGTCCTTCCTGCTGAAAGGCTCACAGATGTGATCGTGTGTTCAGTATTAGCTTCGCTGTAAAAGCTTATATTTGAATGCAAATTGACAAAAAACGTTTTTAAACACATTATTTCTCTTCTTTCAATCTGAAAAACAAGATCCTGTGAATTCCTACATAGGCTGTCTGACAGTGTAGCGTGCTAAACACCGTGGTAGTAGCTCCGTCTGTGGGGACTTGGGAACCAGAGGGTCACCGGGTTCAAGTCGCGGTGCTATATAAAGTAAGTTCTTATTATTAAACTCTGAGACACTTAAGAGTTGAAATGTTGCGTGCAAAACATCAGAATCTGGTTAAGCTCACCAGCAGCACAGCATGACGTTTAGCTGCATCTCTAAATAAAACGTAATATGTTCCTGTAAGTGATGGCGTTCTGTTCTTACTTGCTCCAGTGGACTCTTCCATCGATGGTCTGCATCTCGCCGAGCATGGCCAGCAACAGGGACGATTTCCCACAACCCACCTGGCCAACGATCATCGTCAGCTGACCTGAAGAGACACATACGAGTTCATTATGTGAATGTGTATTCAGAGTTATAGTGGTTTGTCATATCGGCTGCAGGCTTCTCTCTTATGTAGAACCTGCCAATGCACTTTGGGGTCGTGAGAGGTTCAAGTCCTCAAAGTGGAGGTCAGAGGTCAAAGGTGGTTTAGTTACACAGCTATAAACACATACTATTCAACTACTGAAAAACTATCTGAGTTGACCCCGTCTTAAAGGTCACATATTCTCCTCCTTCTCAAAAAGTTTAAATAAGTCTCAGAGCTCCTCAAAACATGTGTGTGAAGTTTCTTGTTCTAAATCCACTCTGATCCTGTATTTGATCATGTCTATAAACCCCTCTATTTCAGCCCTGTTCAGAACAGGCTGTTTCTGTGTCTGTACCTTTAAATATGTAAATGAGCTGTGTCTGACCACGCCCCCTCTCTGGAAGGGCTCGGGTGTCTCTGTCTTTCTCGCTCCATGTCCTATTGTTTACGGTGAGAAGGCAGACTCAGAGGGCAGAACAAACACCTAGCTGTGGGAGTGTCACCCACCTGGGGGAGGGGCTACTACCCTTTGTGATGTCATGAAGGAAAATCTCCAAACGGCCTGTTTGAGCACACATTTTCTGAAAAGTGGAGCGGGGGAAACAGCAGCAACACTCGGCTGAACATACTCCTGATGTTCTTAGTAGTAGCATAACTGGCATAGCGAGCAAGTCACTTCCCAGGGGATGGTACGTGTGTGTGCGTGTGTGTACGTGTGTGTGTGTGTGTGTGTGTGTGTCATACTACACTGTCCATCTGTTGGCAGCCTGCTCAACATGACATGGTCTCCTGACATTTGATATGTCAGTGATGTTACTGCAGCATTAGGATCCCAACAGTCGGCGCTTTCTGCACCGGCAGCACCCACAACCTCCTTTTCCAGAGCGATCTCATTGTTGCTAGGTTACCAAAGTTAACTTCTGCCTTCCTCTGTGATGTCCGTTAGGTGTGTTTAAGCTCTGTGTGTTTAATATTTACTTCAAGCAGCTGGTTTCTTGGAGCTTAAGCATGAATGTTCCCTTTCAGAAATAAAACAAACGTCTCCATCCAAACGTTTCTATAAACGATGTTCAGCCGATGTGGAGTCATTCCTCCTACCTGTAGGGATGCGGATGTTGATGTCTGACAGCGTGGACAGGTTGCTTCCCCAGGTGAAGAATCCATTGCTCACCTGAACCAAAACAAAGAGACAGAAGTTTAAAAAACTAAAGTCAAAGATGAATTTACTCTGCAGCTGAGGTCTCTCAGTAACTTCACATTTTGAAACAAACTCTCAGTCTGACCCTGAGCTCAGGCGGGTAACTCTGAGTTTACACTTCAAGAACAGCTGATTTAAGCAGAGCCCGATTAACCAGCCAGCCAATAATAACGGCCGATATCAGCGTAACCAGTGACTATCGCTATCGGCTAATTTTATCGCAGATATGCGGCCATTTAACTAAATTTATACACCAGTCAGATAGCATTTTATTTGAGTTTCATTGTCTTAAACTAGCAGTAATCTTTCACCAGCAGAGGGCGCTATATGGATTGCAACACGCACTATCACTCTCCAGAGTGTCAAGCGTCGACACACATACATGCAAAGTTACTTTCCAGTTGAGTGACCATCTAATCTACGATTTATCGGTATCAGATTTTTTTCTCCCCCCCAATATCGATATCGGTATCGGCCCTGAGAAACCCCAAAATCGGTCGGGCCCTAGATTTGATTTCCTTTCGGTCAACTCTGAGTAGGTTTCACTCGCACTATAAAAAGACAACATCAATGGAACCCTGATACTACGGGTCACCATGGCAACAGAGGCTATGATTTGTTATCAAGGAAAGTTAGACTGCTGAATGACTGACCACAGCTCGGGATTTTCCTCGTTTTTGTTGCATTCTTTGACTGGATTGTTGCAGAGTGAGGCTTCAAGGATGCAGTACAACATTTCCTCTTTTACCCCCCCGAGGTTAGAGGAATATGTTCGACGACTGGCCGTGCATCCATTAAAACGTGGAACAGCGGAGACACATGTAACTAGGCTTCATATCTGATCCCCGCTCGGCTATCTTTAACCCTGCTTCCTGCTAAAACTCTGTTTACATTCCTCCCATCTGCTCAATTTATGAGTTTATTTAATGATTATTTTTAAGACCACCAAAAAAAAAAAACAGGCTGTAAAAACTGGCTTTTTTGAATGGGTGTGTATGTGACTTCTGGTGCTTCTGCAGCTTGCCCCGAGTGGACACTTGAAGAACTGCAGGATTTCGGTTTCATTTTAAAAACACTGGAATTTGCTGCTTCTTGATCCAGCTTTATTCAAGTTAAGCCAGAGAATGTGGCCGAAGAAATGCAGGGAAGAGACGCAATGCATTCTGGGAAATGTAGTCAATGCTAGGCCAATAAATAATCTCTAATATTTAGTGCAGAAGGACTGAGGACGTGTACCCCCCCCCCCCCTCTCTCTCTCTCCTCCTAATTAGCCGACTCGAGTCTGGTCAGAGGAGTCGCTCCGCAGGGATGAGGCAGGAAGAGCCGGCCTTCACAGAGGGGCCACGGGGCCCTTTAAGGGGCAACAAATTCTCGTGTGAATGATGCACTCACACACTAAAAGACAAGAGACTACACACACACACACACACAAACACAGAGAAAACCACGTCACATGTACGGGGTCCCCGCACACACCGATGACCCGGGGACCATTGTGATGTA